AGAGTTTGAGAGTGTCTGGTTGATGCCAAGGAATTATTTTAGGCTCTTAAAATCTTAAGATTGCTGTTCTCCACCCCGCCAAAGTGCTGAGTTTCAGCCCGTTACCCAGAATACAGTCAAAAATCACCCATTTTAGGTTTTTCCCCTGAAAGAAGGCTCTTGACCAGACTCTGTGTGAATCGCAGGCTCAGCTGGAGCCAGCTCTGCACTTTGAGACGATGAGAGCTGCGGGCTCAGCCCAGCTAGACCCTGCTGCAGGATGGCTTCCAGCCGGGAGCGAGCCAGGTTTGCTGCAGGGAGAGGGTGTGTGTGGGGCGGTGGCATCTGGAAGGGACACACAGCCACTGCCACGTCCTCGTCCCTTTCCCTAGGAGACTTCTGTCACCACTGTGCAAACGGAAAAACAAGAGAAGGTGCCAAGAGGACCCATTCCTGGCTGAGATCACCCTTCCCAGGCAGAAGATGCCCTCAGACTGTGCCGAGAGACTCTTGCTGCGTTCCCAAACGGCTCATCTGGGAGGGGTGTTCCTGATTTTGGGGGTGCAGCCTTTGCTCTCTGGGTCACTCATGTCCTGGCAGTTATTACCATGAGCAGTGCCCATGGGTCTGGGGCTGGCTGGGCGGGTGGTGGAGAAGGGCTGATTCCAACCTCTTGCTCCATCATTTGCCACATCCTCCTCCTTTCCCATTTTTTCCTCTCCCCTTCTACGCTCACATCCCCAACCACCCCAGGATGCCTCCAGCCCATCGCTTCAAGCTTTGCCAGCCCCAAAGTGCAGCCAGGGCCTCTTTAACCACCACCCAGGAGCACTGGGGAGGGAAGAGAGGCTGGTGCAGGACAAACTCTGCATCCAAAGGGAAGAGGTTCCCTTTTGCCCTTCCCTGCTTTTACTGAAGGCGTGTTTGCACCCAAGGCTGTGACTTGGGGGGATGTGGAATGCCCCAGTGTGGGCACTGGGAGGTGGGGGGGTTTCCATCTTGCAGTCTCAGACCCCTCTATGAGCATCAGTGTTGAGTTTAGGTGCGGGGTCAGCTGCCCATCACCATGGGCTGCTCCCAGTGAGGTGCTGTGCCAGGTGCACCCCATCCTTGCTGCTGTGTGGCCCCATGACTGGGTTCCCCCCGCTCCCAAGGAGAAACCAGAGAGGGCCAATGACGGAGCTGCGCTGGCTCCTCCAACAGCTTCACCCTACTTTGAACGGCCCCGAGCATCTGGGGCCAGCAAGGGCAGGAAAAACCACCCCCAAATGCCTCAAATGTGTCCCAGGTGGAGGCTTCAGACACAGGGGCAGTTTGCAAACCGACCTTCCCCTGGACAGTGTCGCCATGGCCAGCACCCTCCTCCCACGACTGCTGCACTGGCAGTGTGGCTGAGTAAAGCGTGCATGAACCCACCCAGACCAAAGGAAACAATGGTGCCAGCCTGGTCCAGGAGGGGTTGTGCCAGGGGGCTCAGTCCTCCACCGCAGCACCTCGAGTTGTTTTGGGGTCCCCAAGGCGAGGGCATGGGGCTGTAGTGTGGTTTTGGGTACCATTGAGCAGCAGGGACCAATCCTGCACCCGCCTGGGCAGGGCAGAGGGGTGCTGCTCCATCTCTCCTTTCTCCATACGGAAGGAGGCAGGGTCAGGGTTTTCACCTTGCTCAGAGCGGGCAGGAATGGCACCCCTCTCAAAACTGGTCCCTGGTGGAGCCTCCACAGTCGGGTGAGGTTTTGGGGGAGCGAAGGCAGCCCTGTTGAGGTGACAGGGATGGTTCGCTGTTGCAGCATCTGGTGAAACCAGGGCAGGAAGGTTTCAGCCTCAGAGGCTTAGTGGGTCCCTGTCGTTAGCAGGAGCCATCCTGCTGGAGCCACAGGGACCATGAGCACTGGCAGGGCATGAACGCTCCTTGGCTTGTCTGGCCACAGGAAACCAGGGCAGGAAGGTTTCAGCCTCAGAGGCTTAGTGGGTCCCTGTCGTTAGCAGGAGCCATCCTGCTGGAGCCACAGGGACCATGAGCACTGGCAGGGCATGAACGCTCCTTGGCTTGTCTGGCCACAGTCTGGGGACACTTGCTGCCTCACCAGCCACTGGTGGTGGCACAGGGACACGGGGGTGTGTCCAGCAAGCTTTCATCACCTTCCCGGTCAGGCTGTGACCATTCACCCTGAGCCAGGCACTCTCCAGGAGACCTTCCCTGTAGGATCTGGAGATATTCAGTGATGGGCCACCACCATTTCCTTGAGGAATCCATTTCAAAATATCTGGAGAGTTCAAACTGGGGCCTTCTTTCCCACCCCAGTTTGGCTGGGGTGAGCTCCAGCCCCGCCATGTGTATACCTCAGTGCTTAAACTCATCCACCCTTTAGCATTGGGTACATCACGAGAAGGCACCTAAGCTTTTGGAGAAAGTTACCTTCATCTTTGTTTCTGCAAATCTTAAGAGCATCAGGAGCATTTCCAGGCATCAAAGTAGTTTCTTGGGCTCTTCTTTGCACCTTCTCCAATCTCTCAAGGTCTGTTTAGACACTGCTAGAGGATATAGTCAAGCAGAACCAGTGATTTTGGAGGTCTGAATCCAGAGACCAGCTTCGGACACAGAGAAGCAGCTTGGAGTCCAATCCTCCATACCTTTCCCAAGAAGTGTGCATTGGAGCAGGTCGGAATGCCTCCCTGGGCAGGGCAAGCAGAGAGGAAGCCCAAATCCTGCTTTTGCAAGAGTACCAGACCTGTGGCAGGAGGGCCAGCTTGGACTGACAGTCCCAAGCAGAGATCCAGCCCCAATAGCCTAAAGAAAAAGCTAATGAGAAGCTAGTGTCCCATGAGCACCGGGTTTCCTTGCTCCCACTCTTCCACGTCCTGATGGAAAGAGGTTGGACATGTCCCTTGGCATGGTACCCTCACAAGGTCCCCAAGAGCAAATGCATCCAAAAGGCACCGTAAGATTCTCCCAGTGACCTCCAGTCCTTGGAAAGAGGCGACTTCTGGCCCTGGTGGTATCTGAAGCCCTGGCAGAAGCGTTTCCCGACCCCATGTTTCCCAGGTCTGCCCCATCTCACCAGCCAGGACAGAGCAGTCCTTGGCCATAAGGCACCACTCCAGCCCCTCAGATGGAGCTGCACCCAGGAGGGCCATCACCCCCCACGCGGAGGGCAGGGGGCATCTTCCAAGCCACCCTGCATGCTGGGTGAGATAAATAAATACCAGAATAAATAAATACAAGTGGCAAAGAGGCCTGAAATGATGCTGTCGTTTGCTGGGAATGAGAGACACAAGTGTAATTTAGGTTTTGATATTATGAAAGTCTCGCTGCTCTAAAACAGCAGGGCACTCAGTGCCTCATTAATAAAGGATAAACTTGGAGTCTATTTACAATGCACTTTTTGGGGTTATTTACACTCCATTATACATATGTAATGCTGCACATATTTACCGCTCTGTTCTGCTGCCGAAAGCAGCCGAGTCGGAGGGAGACGGCGTAGGAAGCGGCTGGTGCTGTGGAGCCATGACCCCTGCTTTGGCTGATGTCCCTTCAACAGCTCCAGCTGCAGGAGAGCCCCAAGCTGGCTGCTGAGGATGGAGGGGCTGGAATCAGGCACTGGGGTACCCAGCATGGCTCAGTCCCTGCCCCCCCCACCCCCCAAGGCTTTGCCAAGTGATGCGGGAAGGGTGAGCTCCTCGCGTGGGCTGGAGCCCAGCACACCGAGTGACCACGAGCACCAGACACACAAGCTGTGGGCCCATCACGGAGTAGGGAGCTGGAAAAAAGAAGGCTACGTTATTTGTAATGAAATAAATTTTGTCTCCATTGGCGCCAGAGGGTTGTGGTCATCCCGATCACCCAGCTTTTACCTCTTCCAGAGCAAAATTTTGTACTTTCCCTGCAAACTGCGGCTTCCAAGGGTCTGCTGGCCTGGGACCCCTGACCCCATGGTGTTGGTGGGAGCTGTTGTGAGGGTCCTGGGTCATGCAACTGCTGTGCCCATGGCAGTCCTTGGAAACGGGGCAGCCTCCACCACGGGATTCAGGGCAGAGACGTGGGAGAGGTCATGCTCAGTGGGCACCCCAGGTTCACAGCAGTTCACAGGGTGCAGCAAGGGGATGTGGGTGCACCCAGCATGGCTTTACCCTCAGCGGAGTTTGGGAGGGTGCGGAAGTCCTGAGGGAGCACTCTCTGCAGGGCCAGCGAGGGGCTGCCAGCAGGCCGGAGCCGGGGGCACAGTGACTGGATGGTCACCCCCAGCTCTGAGCTGCTCCACGTCCTTTTTGCAACTCAGCCTGTACTTGCATGACCAATGTGGCATAAGATGCAAGAGCATGGCAGCCACCCTGACCCCTGTCCTAGGAAATGTGGGGCGACTCTGACCTCCCCAGCCAGGCACAGCAGGGAGGTGAACAAGTCCCCAATCCCATCCTGGTGCTCCCCAGTACTCCCTGGCACCGAGGGAGCACCCACCCATGTCAGCATGCTCCAGCTCGCTGCCATCCCAGGCAGTGCTTGACAGACACTGGCTCTGTAGGCAATGCTCTTTATTAAACACCTTGCATGGGCAGCTCTTGGCAAGTCCACATACCCAGGAGCGATGGGAACTCCCTGCTCCCAGGAGGTCTCCCCGTTTTTAGGAGAGCATCTCTTTCAGCATGGAGGCAAGACACAGCAGCCAGTGCCACTGTGGCACACCATCAGAGCTCGCCCTGGCCACAGGCTGCGGTGCGGTGAGATATCCCGGGAGACACACAGTTGATTGAGTCTGAGCAAATTGGCCCCCACTTCCCTCCCCAGCCCTGAGCCTCCTCTGCCACCCCTGTCCGCCCCAGCCCACCCAGATTAGGGCAGACAGGAGCCCGAGCCCTCCGGGGAGCTGCTCTCCAAGGCCCCGTAGCCATCGAGCTTCATCATCCCGATGAGGTGGACTGGGATCGAGAGGAAGGAGCGGCGGGTGGCGAAGATGTAGCTGATCTCCATGAAGGTTTTGTTCTTGGTCTCGGGGATGATGAGGTAGACATACAGAGCCACCAGCAGGCAGATGCTGCAGAAAACTAGGTAGCAAAAGGCACCAGCTGACATCTGGAGACAACGAGAGAGCAGAGACGGGACAGTGAGCCAGGCACCCTCAAGCTGGACACGACATGAAGCAGAGACCCTTCCCATTCCCTCTGCCTGGGCTGGCCCTGGCCAGCACTGAGCTGAGCCAGGATTATGAGCATCCCTGGCGTTAAGCCTGGCTTGGCATCCCATCCTGAGGGAGCAGCAGGGCTGTGTCCATCCCCTCCTCCTCCCATGGCCCCTCCAGACCAGTACCTGCAAGAAGGGGAAGACAAAGCCAATGGTGAAGTTGCAGAGCCAGTTGAGGGACCCCCCCACGATGTAGGCGGCCGGGCGGTGCGACTGCGTGAAGAGCTCAGCTGTCATCAGGAAGGGGACACCGGCTGTGGAGGGAGGGGACAGATTGAGGGTGTAGGGGATGAGCTGCATCAGGCACCCCTGGGGCCAACAGTTCCTGCCCACTGCAGTCCTGTGTGTGGCCAAAGGGCCGGAGCCCAGCAAGACCCACAGGTCAAAGTGGTGGTGCGCTGGCAGGGCTGGACGAGCTGGGGAGCGCAGGGATGGGTGAACCAGTGTCCTGCCCTTGGTCTTCCTTTGGGATCCATCTTGGTGGGTGGGTGATGTCCCCGCTGGCCTATCACAGTTGCACTTTGCTGGGTGCTGAGGCCAATTTCACAAGTTAGAAAGTTTCAGACTGAGTCAAAATTGAGGGAGAGCACTTCATCTAGACCCTCATTTTGTAATAATTTGCCTAAATGCTGATATATTAAATCTCATATAGACCACAGGCACAGAGAAATGTGTTCCTGGTGCCCTCCATGAAGCCCTTCCCAGCCTCCCTTGATCGAAAGAAACGGTTTAGAAAATTTCCTTCTATGGCTGATTTACGCAGGAAAGAAGCGACCACATTTTCAAGCATCAGAATTTCCCGCAGGATATAGAAATGCCATTTTCCAACCAGCTTTTCTCATGCACGGTGAAAAAAACCCAGAACGACCAAAGACGATTGCCCAAGCCAACCTGGCTACTGAAAACTGGACATGGGTTTTGGCTACTTCTCCCAGAAGGACCCAGCTCCCCCCACCACGTGTCACTGGGCTGGAACCCCTGGGTCCCAGGGCTGTCCCTTTGCTGGAGGGCAGGATTCAAGGATTTGAGGATTTTGGTCCAGGGCACATCCCGGGGCACACGGGGATCTAGCAGAGGACTGTATTTGATGTGGTGACATGACTGGGGTTCCACTGCCTGGGACAGGGCTGACTATGACCTCTTTATAAAAGATGCTCCAATGGAAAAGACAAATGAAAAAAGTGCCAGTAAGTGAGGGAGAAGTGGAGCCCCTGACGGACTCTTACTCACAGCTCACCCAGAATAGAGATATATATTTTTTTGTTTTAAAACTCCTATTCATCATTGTTTGTGAACAATGAGCCATTAAAATCCTAATTAAAGATGTAATTACAGTGAATAAAGTCTGGGCTGAGGATGAATTATAGATCTGTTAACAGCTCTGCTAATACATCAACTGGGTAAACCAGTCCAGGTTTCACTCCTGGCTGTCGGAGCCTGCGCTCGTGCCGGTGCTTGGTTAGGGGCAGGACGATGCTTGCCAGCTGCACCGTGATGGGAGCGGGTGACACCTCCAGAGAGGTGTGGGAAAGGCTGCCAGGGCTCTCTCCCCGTTTGGCCCAGAAGCAGGGATGAGGAGGAGGAGGTGGTGCATGACCCGGGGATGTGTGGGGCTGGAGGGGCTTGTGGTGGGGTCTTGCTCGCAGGGTGCAGCTTGATAAACCCAGGCCTGGCCACAGGGAAGGGGCCAGAGCACCAGTCCTGCCACCTGCCTGCAAACCCCACTGCTTCCCGCTCCCCTGGGGCCCTGATTCCCACCCCACCACCCCCACAGCTCCCACCGGCCCCAAACCCACCTGGTCCCATGCAGAAGCCAGCGATGATGCCAACCACGCAGGCGACACCGACGTAGCGCATCCAGGGCAGGGCAGTCTGCGAGGGGACACGGGGACGGGGGATGCTGCTGGCATGGTGGCCCTGAGCTTTGTGCCCAGTGTCCCCAGGACGGGGCTTCCCTGACCCTCTGCTTGGTGGTAGCCCTCGGGGATGTTGGCCGTGCGGGGCAAAGCTGCTGAGTTTCAGCCTCAGCAAAGCTCAGTGACTTGTGATGCTGAGCCACCCCCAGAGCTGCAGGAGCATCCATGGGAGCAGGCAGCAGAGGAAGGACCCTGTGGACCCCTCCATCTCCCCTGGCATTTGAGAGCCTCCTCCTTGGGGACAGCTATTCTGCAAGAAAAGCTGCCAAAAGTGGCAGGATTCTTCTCATGTGGATTTGTGGTGTTTGGGTTTTTTTTGTTGTCATTCTTTGCTCGGAATTTTCCTTCCCTTGAACTTTAAAGGGAAAACATTGCTTGGAAAGAGCCATCTCACCTCTCATTTCCATGCACTCTCCCTCCCCTGGGGTGGTACCCACCCCTTCATCACCCAGCCCTCATTAAGGTCCCTGGTGCTCCATCCCCAGCCGTGGCAGTGGCCAGACCCTCCCTGCAGCAGCAGGGAGAAAGTGATGCCGGCCGAGCAGATGCCCATGGCGCAGAAGCCGGTGATGATGAGGGGCCGCCGGCCCAGCTTCTCGATGGTAAAGCACTGCCGAGGGAGAGCAGAGACCAATGGGGTGGTGGGAAGCTCCCCACCGAGATGGGGGCACGCCCTGAACCCCAGATCCAGCTCCCAGATGGAGGGATGCTCCTGGTGGCATCTGGGGGGGTGGGGGCAGCCCCAGCTCAGAGCTCCTGGGTTGGGGACAGGGCACGGGAAGACTCAGGACTCCTGGGTCCCAGGGGTGAGGGTGCACCAGGCAGCAGCAGGGTCCCACAGAGCCCTGTTAGGGTGCAGGGTCGGGGCTGGCTGGGGTGGCCCCATGGCTGCATTGGCATCAGCACTGAGCGGAGGTGCTGGGCTGGGCACGGGGCGTTTTTGGGGCAGCAGGCAGAGGAGGCAGGGTGTGGGCAGGCGGCACGGCAGCGGCTGGAGCAGGCAGGGTATTGACAGCAGAACAAATGCCTGTAATTTTATAACCAATCTCGGCATGTCCGTTGGGGGCCGTTTTGCGGGGCTGCTCCCGAGCAATCCGGCTGCACGCTGGGCAGCTGCCGGGGGCTGGGG